CTAGATATTTTGTAGCATGTTTATATTGTATCATTAGTTTTAAATTAAATAAAATATAAGTGACAAGATCCTCTCATTAAAGAAAAAAAAAATATTTTAACTAGCTTTTGATAATTTTATAACTATTAAAACTATAAATATTTTTTTTACAACTTTTATTAAAAGCTCTAAAAGTATTTATTTAATAAAAAAAATATTTAGAATTAGAGAAATAGTAAAGAAAAAAAAATTTTATAATTATTATGTTTTAATAATAAAATTTAATAATAAACTATGCTATATTAATACTATTCTTCTTATATAAATTGGCAATTAAGTATTTTTATTTTTTATCTTATATAAAGTTTTTTAAATAAAATTTTTATATAATAATAATTAAAAAAAAAAAATAAGTTTTTTTTAAAAAAAATTAAAAAATTATATATAAGATCTATGCTAAAAAAAATAAATTTACGAGACTATGTAGATTTTATGAATTAATTCTAAATTTACTAGCGATCAAGTAATCCAATTTGAAGAAAAAGTTTATTAAAATCGGATTACTAGATCTCTAGTAAATTTAAAATTAATTCATAAAGTCTACATAGTCTTGAAAGGTTATTTTCCTATTAAAGATCCCATATAGTATAACTTTATAACACTAGCACGAATTCGAACACCAATCCTAATCTAAAAAATTATTTTGCTTATTGTTATTTATTATTAATTAACCAATTTTTATAGTACGAGGTGATATCACTTAAAGATGAAAATTAGTTTAAATTCAAACTTTATCAAACGCAAAGTCTAAAAAAAATCGCACTAAACAAACAAAGTTATAATTATATGTTATGCAATTTAGCCATATGTTAAGCCACGTAAAGCAGCAATACTTTAATTGGAATAAAAAAATGAAACATACCACTTTGGTCATCAAATCAATTTAAACTATTATTTTATTCAATATATAATAATATAATTAATTTTTCGCATTAATAAACAATTCGGTTATAAAAACAGATCCTATTAAATAGGATGGATTTATAATTTGTTTGAATCAAAAATCATATAAACATAGTAAGAACAAGAAAAATAGAAGCAATATATATGTGTATATATACCAGCAAGAATGTACGAAACAAATATAATAAAGGTAAATCAAACAAGATCCTAACAATGTAAACTTCTTAAAACACCAATTGAAAACAAGAAAAACAAGACAAAAAGCACATATAAAAATTGTACTTTATATAATAAAATATATTTGATATTTGACAATAAAGATTTGATGAAGGAGAAATGGAAATTCTCATGAAAAGTTGAGATTAAACAAAATTAATTCCTAATTTTTCCGTTATTTGCTTATAAATCAACATTGATTTTCGTGGAAATAGAATCACCTTTTCTTTACAAAACTAGACAATGTGCATTATTTCTCCTCCTCTTCCCCCTGGCCAAAAGCGCAGCCCGCGTGGCATGTTCGAATACTTCACGTACGCCCTCACCAGTTTTGGCTGAGCACTCCAGATATTTATAAGCACCGATTTTTTGAGAGACACCCATACCCTTGTTTGTGAAATCATAGATTAGAAAAGGAAAAAGAATTAGAATAAAATACATAAAAATTGAAAAAAAATAAAGGATAGAATAATAAATAGATATATGTTCTTTTATCACTATACCTCTTCAGGCGTAACAGGCCTTTGAGAAGTCTTGCGAAGTTCTTCAATAGTCTTAGGATCAAATCTCAAATCTTTCTTGCACCCAACTAGGATAATAGGCAAACCATGGCAGAAATGCATTACCTCTGAAATCCACTGTTAAATATCAAAAAAAAAAAAAAAAATATAATTAAAATCCCAAGCAAAAATAAAAATTATGTAACTGTTTATATAATTATAATAATAAACAACAGATTTCCATTCAAGATCTTAACATGTCTCTTATTCGATATCTTTGTTATTGTTAAATTAAATTCTATGGACATTTTCTCAAAAATTTAATCGAATACACTATTTGGTGTATCGCCCAAAATTTTAAAAATGTCAAATCAGATTATAAATTTTTAATACTTACTTTTTCTTGTACGTTATCCAAAGAATCGGGAGAGTCAACCGCAAAACAAATCAAAATAACATGAGAATCAGGGTAAGAGAGAGGTCGTAGACGATCATAATCTTCCTGACCTATTCATTACAACATGGCGTGTTAATGTATAATAATTTATAACATCGCAAAAGTATAACGACCAAAATTGTTACCAGCAGTATCCCATAAGGCCAATTCAACGTGCCTGCCATCTACTTCGACGTCAGCAACATAGTTTTCGAATACAGTAGGAACATAGACCTGTATAATTAATAAGTGAATAAAATTTAATACGTAATCTCGTTGCATAATGTTGTAAAGCTGCTATAAGCTTCTAATTTGCTAAATCTACAATACCCTTAATAAAACAATCAAAGGG